CCTCCTCAGTTTCCTCCGTCTCCGCCTGCTGCTGCTCCTGCCGCTCCTCCTCGTCGCCTCTTCCACCTCCTCGCCCTCCTGCTTCTTCTCCTCCTACTCCGCCCCTTTCACCTCCACGTCCTCCTCCTGCTCCTCTTCCTCCTGTTTCTCCTCCTCCTTCTCCTCCTCCTCGTTCTCCTTCTGCTCGTCCTCACCCTCCTCCTCCTCCTCCTTTTCCCGCTCACTGTCCGTTCCAGCTCTGGCCCTCACTCCTCCCAGCACTCTCTCCCCTTTCGTGCTCCTCCCTCTCGCCGTTCGGTACTTCCTCCCGCCTCCTCTCCTCCTCTTTGATCACGACCCCTCTCTCGACAGCCATTTTTCACTCTGGTGGTGGTGTTTGAAACACTTCATGATCACCAAGTGACATACTTAAGAGATGGAAGTTGATTCAGAAGTTGAGCTTTCGATAATCGCAAAAGAGGGCTAGCGAGTTTCTGATATGATCCCATATTCCGAAGGTAGTGCCTGAGGCTGGGCTTTTCGGACGGGGTTTTGGTGCGATCAGAGGAGTCCTTCTGTTTTTCAAAAGATGGCGCTGATTACAATGCCTGTCCTCTTTCTTGTGCTCATCTTCCTCTGCTCCCCCCCCCTCCCCTCCAAGCTCTCATGCCGCAATAGTGCTTCCAAATCTCTCTCCTCATCTCCTCCTCCTCCTCCTCCGCTGCTCCTCCTCCTCGCCTTCCACCTCCTCGTCCTCCTGCTTCTCCTCCTACTCCTCTTCCGCCTCCTCCTCCTCCTCCTCCTCCTCCCCCACCTGCTCTTCCTTCTCCTTCCCCCGCTCCTCCTGATCCTTCTGTCCCGCCTCCTGTTTTGCCTCCTCCTCCTCTTCCTCCTGTGCCCCAGCCTCCTCCTTCTCCAGCGGATCCTCTTCCCCTTCCTCCTCCTCCTCCCCCTACCCCGGTGCTACCTGCGCTTCCCTTGTCTGGATTATCAGAAGCTGGCCATTCACTTGTCCAGGTTCCATCACGTGGTTGAATCCTACAGTGGGCCTCGCTCCACAACTCTAGAAATGCACATAAGACAAAAATCATGGTGGTGTATCTTTCTATGTTCTCGAGGAAGATTCACTCTCGTTTTGCACACTTTGAGAGTAGTGGAGCGAGGCCCAGTGTCATTCCGCCTCGTTGCTGCTTGACTCAGCTGACTGCTCCCTGCTTCCCCTTCTGATGCTCCAGGTGTACGTCTTCAATGTCTTGGCACGCTTGCCTGCCGGCGTGGCTGCCCATCTGCTTCAGAATCTTGCTGATTGCAATGCTGTTCGTCTTGTTGTGCCTGAGCTCCTGCCTCCACAACGTTTGCGTTCTGCTGCTTGCTGTTCTGGTCTTTGGTCGGCGCGACAGCGCCCTCTTGGGAACGGGATCGGGATCAGAAGAGACTATGCAGGATGGGGAGATTAAGCAGGAGGCTGTCGAGGGTCCAGCTTCCTGATGAGTCCGTCCGTGAGAGTCCCCGACAGAAGAGGTTTTTTCTTTTTATAAACTAGGCTATATTCTTCTCTCAATCTTTCATCATGTTTCAAATTCTTTCAATTCACCTTCACTAGCTACCTACCACTACTCCTAAGGCTTATACAGGGGACCCCTGCAAAATATAGCTTTGTTGTCTCCCTCCAGCCATCAGAGGGGATGCACGTTGCCCCCCTCGCCAACCATGGTGGTCAAGCATGGGGTGGGGCTACTGGTGGGGGTCCGGCTAAGGCAAAGACCAAGCATTTTGCCAGTAGCTGCACCTCCCTTTTCATCGTCCCCCACCTCCAACCCAATAACAGCAGTGTCTAAGACCAACACTCTCCCACACACCACACACAACCCACTCACACTCACAGTCACACCCGTGTTGGCCAAGGACCCTGCTAATATGGATCAGAGGCATCAAGGGGACTACCACTGCTGGTTGGCACTAAGTGCTCCACAGGCGCTTGTGGGACTCGAACCCACAACCTCCTGAATGCCAGCCTAACCAACTGAGCTAGGCCGCTGGATCAGAACAGTTTCGCCATCAGGAGGCTGTGAGTTTTCCTTGCTTTTGGGAGCCAGTAGGTTCCAGTCACAATCGTGTATAGAATGGGGACAGTGGAATACCACCAACTCGGGACAAACCTCCCCGATTCGGTTGCAAGTAATAATACTGAGTAGGTTGCCTACTGGGAAGTCTCCCTCCGGGGGTCAAATGACAGTACCCACCAGGGTTGATAGCCGACCTCTACAACAACCTGGGCTTAAAAAAAAAAAAAAAAAAAAAAAAAAAAAAGAATGGGCAACAAAAGGGGAAAAGTTAAAAACCGTCCCCCCGAGGAAACCTTTATATTTGTAATTTGTTTCCCCCCAAACGGGGCAAAAAATGCCGCACGCCCCAAAATGACTTTTGGCTTCACTTTTCCCGCCATTTTTGCACAGCCGGGGTTACAGGGCCAGCTAGCCAGGGTGTGAAAACGACACGGAAAGTCAGTTTTGGGGCTGCACTTTTTGCCCCGTTTGGGGAGAAAAGAACACAAAGGTTTCCTTGTGGGGAGGTTTTATAACTTTTTTCCCAAAAAAAACGCGTACGGGCAGGTCAGTCACACGCTGAGTTTGAAAAGGCAATAAAAACATGGTGGGCAAGTGTGACCCTTTGAGCGCGCCAGTACCTACCGCATTTTTCGTACCTGGAGGCCTCGAATGAATTTGGACCGGACCGGCATGTGTGTGTGTGGGGGGGGGGGGGGGGGGGGGGGGCGTGTCTTTTTTTTTTTTTTCTGGTTTTTATGATTTTATTTGAGAAAAATACATATGAACTTTAAAAAAAAAAACCAATAAAAAAATGGGGTTTTTTGCAGATCTTTTGTATTTTTTTCTTTGTTTATTGTTTGCCCACGAAAAAATCTCTGTGAAAAAAAAAACAAAAACCCACCCATTTCATCTTCTTTTTTTCTTTCTTTTTATGTTTTTATCCTAGGCTACCAGCCGGGCCGCCCGGGTCCCCGGTGGCCAGCCCGTGCAAGGACCAGGGAAGGTCCCAGCAAAAAAAAAAAAAAGAGAGAATCCAAAAAATCCGAAAAACAACTATGTTATGCAGAAAAATAAACTGAACAACTTTTGCCTCAGGGTCACATTGAAATTCTTCACCAAATTTAGAATATATATATATATCGTCACAAACATATATATATATATATATCGTCACAAACAGAACTGCCGGTAAACCGTAGGCAGAGAGAGAGAAGAGGACAACAAACGAGGGGCTGTGACAAACTGTTTCGTCGGAGTTTCACCCACCCACCGACTCATCAGGAGGCTGAATATATATCTGTTTGTGACGATATATAGATATATTCGTTTTTTGCCCCGGCCGGGCAAGTGACCCCGGGCCACTCTGGTAGCCTAGTTTTTTATTTATTTTTATTATAGAAAAACGTCAAAAAATAAAATAAAAAATATGGCATTGTAGGTCTCAAAAGGATCTACAACCCTATATATATCTATAGATATATATTTTTGCTTATTTTTTATCTGAGAAAAAAATATTCTCGCTCGCTCAAACCCCCCCCCTGCTCAAGCGCCTTTGAGCACGGGCCCCGGGGTTGAGCGGCGCTCAAAAACTTGAGAGTAGACCGCGCACTCAAACAGCGCCCCGTTACAGTGTGGTGGGCAATGAAAACATGGTGCCACTTTGGAAACGGAACGGGTCTGACTCAGGGTTTTTGCAGGTGCGACCGTGGGGCCCCATGGTGTGCAGACTGCCGTTTTATGTTTTCTTCGCCGCCCATCCTATTCCTATTCTGGCATTCCTATTCCTATTCTGGCACGGCAACAGACCTGCCGACATGAGTTTTCTGACTCTACCCCTGATGCAAACGCCACTTGTTTCTTTCTCTTTCTCCCTCCCCGTTACAAAAACTGAACTACGGTGGGATCCTAGTGATGTGTTTGATAACGGCACTGCTTTCTTTTTTTTTCTTTTCTTTTTCTTTTTCTTTTTCTTTTTCTTTTTCTTTTTCTTTTCTTTTCTTTCTTCTTCTTCTTCTTCTTCTTCTTCTTCTTCTTCTTCTTTTAACTGTATTGCTTTTGGCAAGTTTCGGGATCCTACCGTAGTTCAGTTTTTGTGTTTGTTTGTTTGTTTGTTTGTTTTTTTTTTTTTTTT